ATGAGAGCATTTTTCACCTACCATCTGCCCAACTGATTCGTCCCTTCGTTAACAGACAGCTCGAGTTCCTTCCATCCCATCTACTTATCCTACTCACCTGCTTCGATCACTCTTGGCATAGACACGTGTGTCAACCTCTTTTAACTTCTCACCTACACTTTTTTTTTGTGTTGATTAAGATTGGGAGTGACAATCGAATCATCGTGTTGATTTATTAAGGATTTGTGTCAAACATTAGTCAAACATAACTCAACTCATTTAACTAATTGTGTCGTGTCGAGTTACGAGTTGACCTGATTATTTTCATGTCGTGTTCGTATTCGTGTTGATCCACATAAACTTTGAAAAAATAAATTACGTTAATATTCTATTTTGTATTTTTTTATTTATATTTTTTATTTTTAAATTTTTTTAAAATTTTTTTTTAAAATATATATTTTATCATTGTATTTTTATATGAAATTAATGTATACATAATATATGTTTTTATGAATCTTTAAACTAAAAGTTTTTTTCTCATTCAATTCGTACAAGACTACACATTTTTTATCCATTTATGTTAATTTAAAGGATTTTTTTTCTTATTTAAATGATTTTTTTTTTCAAAACTTTGAAAAATCGATACCTTTCCTCTGCTAAATTTCTATATCTGATTGTTCTTCCAATAGTATGAAAAATTCTTCTTATTATACTATTATTAGCTATGACTATATCCAAATTGTGTAGACTTGTTCCCTCGATACGTTTTCAAAAAACTAAAAAATGGTCTTATATAAGTTAAAATTCTTAGATCTATCTCTAACCGAGTAAAGTCTTAACACTGCTCTTTCCATTGTCAATAACAAAAATATATTCGAGAGTAAAGCTAACCAATTATTGTAAATGTGACTTGCCATGAATTTGCTGCATGTGACTAGTTGCACTTTCAATCCACCTTGTGTTGCACGTTTACTTTAATGTCTGGTTCCCGTGCTTTTTATTCTCGATGTTATCGCTACATGTTCGACTTGAAAGTGTTAGTCATATATTTAACTTTTCTTTCAAGTCACCATTAAAATCTTTCTTTTGCGTATGAACAAAGGACGAGTTGTATTCTTTTTGTTGGAATCAGACAAATCCAAGTGGCAGGAACAACTGCACTTGTCAACTAGGCAAGCCAATTCTTCTGAACGACTGCAGCGCTTTACCATCGAGGGAGCCCTACAATTTTCGGTGGATCCTTCTTTTTCCTTAGAATTGAACAAACCAAGTTCACCTACACAAGAGTTCACATTAAGGAAAAAGTTATTTGGACATAATCCGAGAACCTGTTGAATTAAAAGTGAGCTCCATTTAATATTAATTCATTACCTTTGGACGCATAGTATTATATACTTAAGTGTAGAGTATGCTTCCACATTGGGCCTGTGGACCGAAAGGCTAGCCCGCCACAAGATACCCAGTTTGTTGGCACGGTTTGATAAACTTTGGGCCTTTCCTGGACTAGGAAGGTGGGCCTGACTGTCCCGGCCCAAATATGATTGGAAGTCCATTCATTGAAATGAGTGTGCGATTCAATGTGGACATTATTCTAAAATAAATAATAAGGAATTGCAAAAAGTCTCCACCCAAGAGATTTCCATGGAAATTCCTGAGACAATGTTGTCCTCATTTTCTTCTATTTTTTTTTCTTAGTAGATTATCTTCCATGTATTAGCAGAGAACTCGTTTTTATACAACGGATCCCATTTAAATTCGTTATCGGCCATTGACCAAACAGAAATATATATATATATATCTAAAGGATGGGATCTTACTCCTAAATTCACATCCAGCTATAATGGCCTCATGCCTGAATATCCTTCTTCAATCCAGAAGAGAAATCTTCTGGTAATGACCTAGTGCACCACCTAAATATTACACTTTATTGGGCAGCTAATAGGGAAAATTATATTTTCCCCGAGAATTACAAACTTGGGGTACAAATTGGATGAAAGGTTCTTGAGTTTATATCCCAAATTATGGGATTTCGTTTCAATTTATCCCAAATTTAATGACAGGTAAATATGTTTGTCCAAAGCATAATGGAAGTTTGATTGTGGACGGCAATGTAAGAAACTCAATAATTAGAAATAAAAAATAAAAAATAAAACAAGATTGAGACCATAACTAAATTATAAAATATGTAATTGACCCACTACTAATATACAACTGGTTTACCCTAGCGGGAAGCACGACCAAATTTGAAGTCAAAATTGGATGGCAAGCAGGAACGGATCCATGATTTTGACTTTGGGACGGATTATTTTAAGAGTTTTTTTTGGGGAATTTAAGCCGAAAAGGAAAAACTTTGAGGTCCATAAAAAAAAGTTTAAATAACATTATGACCAAATTTCATTCACCACCGTTGATGTTGAGCCTTGAGAGTTTGCTCCACCATGAAATTTGCAACTATAAAGAAAAGGAAAAAAAAATGATAAATTGTGATTATGTAAAAAATTAAGAAGCATGAGGTGGATGAGCCTACGAGCTCTAGGTGATGGTGAGGTGTGTGTGTTATAGCATGCAACGATTTTGGCACAAGAATTTATAGTAGTTCATCAAACTAAAAAACTAGACTAATCTATTCTAATGACAACTGTTGCTCTTTGACGATATATTTCTTGAAGAAGAAGATGAAAATTGTTTACAAAATGTTGGATTCATTTTTAATAGATCATTTTCTTCTATTTATACTAAGGTAATCTTTTGTCCCTATCCAAGATTAGTGCAGTCCCCCTACCAAATCCGTTGGAATCATTTGAGAACCTTTGGCTGTTAGAGGCAATCATGTATTCATAGGACACATGATCTTTTAGAAACAGTGGCTTCTTTTTCAAGGTAGAGTTTCAAGAGGAAAGTTTCTCTTTTCCCTTTTTGATATCTTTTATGATGTTTGTCGTCTTTAGAGTTATACTGTCTATCTGGTTAGTTGGTGCCAACCTACTTGGCATGAGTTGGACTGTCTTATAGTCTGAATTACATATTTTTCTAGTATCAACAACTTGCCTGCCTAAATTTAATATGGAAAATTTTCTGAAAAATTTCCAGGTTGATGACTTCACCTCGTTATCTAAATTATGTTGATAAAGAGGTCTGGTACGTTGGTAATTAGGTGGCGGACAGGATTCCAACATGTAGTCTTGAAGTCATGGGCCAAAGCAAGCGGAGATGTGTACTATGAGCTCCTTCTTCCGTTGCGTTTGGCATCTTGCAATTCTTTCTACAGTTATGTCTTTCAATACGGCTACTCAAGTCAATTAATTATATAAGATGTTTGTTTTTTTGTCGGGTGCTCTTAATGAAGCTCTTTTTGTCCTATATGTTCGTTCTAAAGATTAGTGGTTCAAGTTAATAAGCGAGGAGATCCTTCTCACTCATACTCCAGTATTCATTTTTTTAGTTTGAAACCAACGTCTCGGGGATAACGTGCTCAAAAACCTACTCTGGTTTTGATAAATATCTCATGTGTTCCTTGATTGGAGTGGTCATTTTTGAAAGAAAAGTTATACGCTTTTCAAAAAAGGTTTGAAAAAAACACTGAATTTCACATATATATTTACATATTATCAGTTAGCTGCTTTTTATGCACAAAAAACACAATAGGATTGGATTATCTTTGAGAGGGTTGTATTTTGATAAAAATAGGATGATGTTCAAACTCCCGAAATACAGTCTAGATAGCAAGCCCTCCACTTTCTACTAGACTGACTTAGGGAAGGGTCAATATCCTTCGGAGCATGTGTCACATAGCCATTCATTTGTCCTAACCAAACAATAGAATCTATCTCTCATGGTAGGGATTGATAATCTACCTAAGCATGTAGCCTTCACCCTCTCAAGCTAAAGAGTAAAGATAGCCCTTGCTCTCTAATACATGTCACATTAGATTTGCTAACATAGTTACGGGGCTTAGTATTCCGAAGAGTTATCCTAATCTATTTTGCTAATGTTTCGGTCTTCAAACAAGAAATAAGGTGTTCGTTCGACCTGAAGTTAAACTTGTCTCGCCTTGTCCTATGGTACTAACCTTAGTATCCATATATTGTCTCAGAAAAAAGGCGTTCAAATGCGATTATAGTCTTCTTACTGTATCCTATAAGGAAGAGTCAAGGGACCTTTCAGAACTACCTCGACTCCTTGATAAGCCAATATGTCGGAAGGGGAAGTAGGACAAACTCCTGTAGTCTTGAATGTTGAATCTAGGGAATATAGGATTTTCAATAGAAGCCCTTGATGCTCAAGATCGCTGAAGTTGGGTGGTCCTAAGTGTTAGGTTAAAACTAGGAAATTTTAATTACACTCAGCTACAATTAAATGGAGGTGTCACAGGGTGTTCAACATTACACTGACTACTTATTCAAACTTAGAGACCAGCAATATGTTTCCAACCTTCATGGCAACATCCGTTTCCTGGACCTTGTCATAAAAAGCACATATGGCAAATCTTCATTGCAATCTTTCAAAGTCCCCAAAACTCATTTTTGGTATCTTTTATTTTCTTTGACCTTTTTGTTGCTTCAATTGTTGTAGAATTATTTCTCAATTAGACAAGGCCCGGTAAAGATCAAATTGTGCTACACAAATTTTTTACCAAATCTTGTATCTCAAGGGATGTGTCAAAATTCCATGCATTAAATATTTGGTGAAGTTAGTGGACTCCACTAATCCAACCACTTGCATTGATTTGTGATACAAAAATTGAACAACAATTTGATCAGCATAACATTGCTCATTTAGTAAAATGTTCTAACAGGAGAGGGAGAGAGACAGAGAGAGAGGCCATAGATGTTTAATCAACAATTTACATTTCTGAGAGTCAAAAAACATTGATTCTGCACTCACCAAGTTATTGTCATTTTACAAGTGATCAAAGAATAAGTATCTAATTGCGTCTCAACTCTCAAGAGTAATGTAACGACAATTAAAGAGGAAAGCAAAATAGCACGAACAGAAATAAAATAAAACAGAACAAATTTCTCTTATGGGCTCTTACAGGCAAATGAGAATTCAACTTTCTCTTGATCTTTCTGCATCACCTGCTCCTGCCACCACCACCTGCTATCCATTCCACTTCTTGTCCTGAACATGAACACCGTGTAGCCCAAGGCCGAATTGAAGAACCAATCATGAACATCCCACATCAGGTCAACCATCAATCCATCAACAAAAATTGTCTGGTTTCCTCTGAAATTCCATTGCAGCCTCTTTACAAGAATCACCGTCTTCTTATCTATACAAACCGATAGAGCTGGGTGCTTTTGGCCTTCATTTTCTCCTCTACACCGTATCAAAATTTCATGTACAGCCCCATTATCGCAGAATTGAGCCTTAGTTGAGTAAAGGGCTTTCCCCAAAATGTTTTCTTGTCGTGAAACTAATGAGAATTTAGCAATTTTCGTTCCCAGTTTGAGCTTCTTTGCAGATGCTTCTTCAGACATGTCACCAAGAGCTAGGCCAAGTTCTGAATCAACCATGATCAAGACAAAGTATCCAACAATCGGTTCAGGGCCAGCACTGTACTTGGCTGCAGAGAAATCCCAGATAATTTCAAACTTGGAATTATCGAACGAATGATTTGCTGCCTTTCTTCTTCCTACAAGTGGTTGATGGATCACCATTAAAATTTATATTAAGGCCTTGAGAGGTATTGTTCTTGCTCCATGTGAGGGTGATCAAGAGCTGCTTTTAATTGGAGAGGATGGTTTTGTATACACAGGTGACTGCATTTTGGATTGAAGGGATAAGAGTAGGAGAGATAGAAGAATGGTTTGAATAACTAGAACAAGAAGAATCAGACACCTGTGTTGCGTAGTCACAAATACAAGAGGCTATGTCCCTCATTCTGTGCAGAATTAACATACAAACTGTTGGGATTTCTCACGATTTGAATCCACTAACAAACACACACAATCGAAGAACAAATCAAGAATATAAAGCAATAAGAAATAAGAAAGAACAAGACACAGATTTTACGTGGTTCGGCAATTTGCCTACGTCCACGAAGCTGCAGGGATTTCACTATTGAGAGAGTTGAATACAGAGAGCGGCTGTACCATACACGATTAACCCTAATCACCAAAACAACAGGGTTTATATGTCCTACGCACTGGGTTGTATAACGGGCCCAAAAAAAATTTTCCTCGGGGGCGTTGCCCCCGAACCCCCACGAGGCTTGTCCATGAGCACTACGGCTTGGGCCTATCGGCCCAAGCCTTCGCTCCATGGACTAAGCCTCAGAAAATTTTTCATTAAAAACCACACAACATTATTTCGGGTCGGGTCATCATCCGGATCACATATACAAACTAGACTCCATAAAAAAAACCAACACAAACACACTTAGAGACAGAGAGAGGGATTCCTAATTAGGGGCAAGAATAAGCTTTTCGTTAATCCAAAGAGGAAACTCAGGAAAAGAAATGGGAAAAAAAGGCAATGAAATTCAGTTTCCTGATTTTTTTTGTTTTTTTTTTTTTTGTGGTTAAACGATCTGGAGTGTTCGAATCAGTTTACGCGTAGCTCAGAACATTTAATTTTATAGTTCGTTCTTATTATCACTTGAACTATTTTGGGTTAAAATTTCTCTTTCTAATAGAGTAAACTTGATAACCAATGTTTTCTACCGAAATGTTGTGGTGTAAATAGGATGCTTTCTGTATGCTTGAAAGAGTAAATTCTAGTGAAAAAAACTAAATGTAGGATTTTTCTTTTTTTTTTTTTTTGTCAAATAGTCAAGGGTGACCAAGTCAACTTACAAGTAGCTCGATTAATCCCCTCACTCGTCCTGTCAAAGTCAGGTCATTCGTGTTAGGACTAAGGTATTCATGAATAATAAATCTCTCATAATTTAACTCCAAGAAATTATTAACATTCGAATTCAGGACATCTGGATTTACAGTTTGTTCCTATTATCACTTAAACTACATTGGGGTTAGGGTTAAGATTTCCCTTTGAAAAGAGTAAACTTAATAACCAATGTTTTCTACCATAATGTTGTGGTAGTGGTATTTTTCGAAAAATCACGATATTAATAGTAGTTTTTTACAAAAAAAAAATATGATGTCAATGTTATTGAAATTTTTGCGTGTATAAGCGTCCTCCTCTCTGAGATTGAAGATTTTTTTTTAATATGACAGGATCCACTGATATGAACAGATGTTGCACTCAATTTAAGCAGAGAAAAATCTTTTATTTCTGGCCCTCCATTTTTCGATTCCTTTCCCTAGCATGTTCAAATTGATAGCTTGAAAACAAACTATGCTTATGCAAGACATCTATGTGAATGACAAGATAAGTAAGTGAAAGATATACTCACATGATAAGGATTAGCTAGCTCTGTTAGGGGTGAAAAGGTAGAGTTGACGACCATAAAAGCTCTACAAAAGCTCAAAAGAGAATCAAAAGAAAGGAGGAAAGAGAAAGAGCTGGGGATTTAGAACCTGCATGTGTATATCAAATAAGTCCATCAAAAGAGAATTTGGACGGTACAATTATGATTATTAATATATATTAGAATTATGAGTTCGAATCTCGTAAAAAATATTCTTATTGACACAATGCTAAGCTGAATTCAAATTGGATTACTTTGACTTTGATGTATTCAAATTTAAATCTTTAAAATATGATACAATAATTTAGATTCGAATTCCAATTATTAGTTAAAAATGTCCAAATAGAAGTTCAACACAAGTTCTTGGGGGATAAAAAGTGCAAAATTTACCACCTTCATCCCCTAATGTCTTTAATGTCGGTTTCAACAGCACAAAAAGTAGGTCTCATCACATTCACTTTCACAAGCCAAAGAGGTCTGTTTGTCATTGTCAAATCGTTAATGGTACTAATAGAGAGTTCATGGGATTACTTTTATGCCCTGTTTGATTGTTGCAAAGATGGATTCCATGCTTTTCCTCTTCCCCCCCCCCCCCCCCCCCCCCAATGATAACATAGTTTATAGTAAGGCATGTATTTAGAACACAGCCACCAACTATCTCAACACCCAGAAACGTTATGGCAACAAACAGAAAAAGGGGGAACTCTTCTCTTTCAGTCTTTTGGCTTTAGGACATACCAAGAAATTCTTACGTACCCCCAACAGACCATGAATAGCCCTGGTTGTGATTTCTTCCTTTGACAAGCCAGCTTCTTTTTTTTTTTTTTTTGATACAAGATGTTCAGATTTGCGCCAACTACTCTCGAGCTCAACAGTCACAGTGAGTTGAACTGAGTTAGAGCATGTCCCTAAAAAGATAAGGGTGACTAGCCCTTATGGAGTATGAGAAAAAATTGAACCTGAGACCTCTAGGTTATCAAATATTATGGTTAACCACTAAACCACCCCTAAGTGATAGGAGGGAGTGATAGAACATAGGTGAAGTAATATAAGGGTGTTGCTCATGAAAAAATTTCAAAAACAATTAAAAAAAAAGACATCATTTCTTTCTTTTGTAATAAAGACCTTGAAGGAATCGAGAGCAAAAGAAAATCAAACCCTACCCCTTCGAATGAAGAGTGTCGACCCAGAGTAGCTGTGATTTTGGGATTGAGTTGAAGTTGATCTTGTTTTAGTTGGAATGGGTCCCCAACACTCTATGTTTAGTAGGTTTCTTAGTTTTCGCTCACTAGAACTAGTACGCCCTCTTCTCGAAAGCTGAAGAGTAGCTAAAACTAAGTAATTTGTTTAAGATTCTAAGAACCTCCTTGCAAGATGAGATTATGGAATCTGTTTGCTCCGAAAGTTTCTCTTAATTCTTCTCAATGATAAATCGTTGATCATTTACTAGTGGAATGTAAAAATCAGTCCAGAATTGAGAAAAATTACTGACAAAGAAAAACATACCAGAGAAGGTCGAAATTCGATTTAACAAATGCAAAGTGGTAGGCCAACTCATCTACTAAGCAAAATGCCATACAACACAATTTATGAAGCTGCTCAGTCAAATATATGAATTCGAACCCAAAAATGTGATCCAAGCCAAACAACTCAATTAAAACTGAATTTTAGATAAACTTGCATCTAAACTTCACTCAATTTCATCAATAAATCACTATGTTTTATCACACATGTATATAATTCAAATCACATATCGATTTATTGAAATCCAGTTTCTTAAATTATAGATATAATAAAATAAGTCGAATCCAGATAATCAATCAAAAATATCAATGCATGAATCTAAATTTGAATTAGTTGGTTACATTACCGTCTGAATTAGAAAGCACACATCATGGCCCCTATATTGGAAAGAGGCGAGAATTTCATGCTCCATTCATTGATTATGATGTTCCATTCTTATAACACAATGATGCTTAGCATTTTTCATCTCAGTCAGGTTGGGATAGCAGTCACTTAGTTTGACTTGCCTATCCCAAGACTTCTCTCCCACTCGACCAACAAGTTAGGTTCCCTAACTCTAACCTTACTGGTCCACAGAACTCTACCCCATCTTCCATTGCAAAGGGAAAAACTTAATACTGACAGGTATTTAAGCCAACAACTTCAAGAAAAGAGTCTCATAATGTGATAAAGTTGATATTGAATACAGCCTTTGGGTTCTGTTTTAGCATATACTAGGAATACTTCACGCAATTTTAATTATTTCAATGTGTCTACTGTAAGACGTACCAGTAACAAGGTAGCAGAAATGCAATTTCTATCAGATGTTTCAACGTATGAGAGGAGGAGGCACCAGATTTCTTAATGCCCCTTCTTTCGAATAAATCGAATTCCTACCATTTCATTCAAAAAAAAAAAAAGGGGGAATGGAAAATAAATACCAAGGCCACATCTTTGATATCTAATTTGTGATACTCAGGATAAAACCAATAAAACTAGGAAAACAAAAAACCATGAACAAAAAAGTAATTTTGACCTCCCAGACAACAAATCCTGCTCAAATTTGTTGGAATTCTGAGTTCCGGAAAAATCAAGGCATAAAATATGAGTGTGACAGTATTCCTTCTTAACAATTTCACTCTTCCATACGATTTTCCTCTGATTGTTGTAGTGAAACTTTGACCTTAATCTTCGGTAAGGTGAGAGATGGCTCTTGTTGGAGGGGAGCAGGAGCTTTGACCATGTGGATGCTCTGCTCCAGCTCTTTTGTAGCCTCTTTCTGCTCTTTGGCTCTCTTTCCCTTCATCCTGCCAAATTTGCAGTGAACGTTAGTAAGAAAATGAGAAGACCTTACACAGCTCTTTAATCGACATAGCAATGGAGAGTAAGAAGAACCTCATTGCATGGTGTCTGGCCTCCCTATCAACTCTGATTTTATCAATCTTCTTAATGGCCTTCAGGGTGTTCTCTGTTAGATTCCTGTCATATCTCTCTAACCTATTTCGCTTCCTCTCAAACTCAAAGGTTGCATCCTTGAAAGTGGAATATGCAACAACAAAAGAATATATGGCAACCAAGTAAGATCAGTAAGCAATAATAGTACTCATCCAAGACAATGAAAGACCACAAGGCAAAATAAAGCAAGTTTGTGTACCTGGGTCATATCCTTTCCATGCAAACGCCTGTATGCCTTGGTCCATTTAACTTTACGAGGGTTCCTCTTCATCTTGAAGCTCTTATGACATTTAGCTCTGCAAAATCGGAAAATCTGCAAATGACATGCTAATCAGGATCTATAGCCGCTACTGATATGGATGACACGAAGAAAGATGGTGACAGACCAATGAGATCACAATATAGTCTTTCATCGAGAACCCCCCACCACAAATTTTAAATTCAAATACCATCCTAGAAGGGCTAAGGGGGGGAAAAAGAGGAAAGGAAAAAGAATACCTCTACTATGGTTGCACCTGATCTCTACTAATCAGGTCTGACTATGCACCTAGATATCGAATCAGCTTTATGCATGCAAGCATGCCTCTTTTTATTGACAAATAACATAATCTTTGAGTGCACAAAGTGAGAGCCGAGGCAAGGGGACTTAGGAAAAGACTTCAAGGTAACTGTCAGATATAGTATCTCATCCCAGAAAATAAAATATTTTTTAATTTCTGATGTATACTTTTACTTTCTAGATGTCCATCCTATATATGAAATCATAAAACTTCCTTAAAAGTTGGATTGACTTCACTGTAAGATGGAGAAGCTTTATTTTGCCAGGACTGGTTAGAGATGCAAATAATTTTGGCAGCTCAAGTACAAACAGCACAAGGGTTCCAGAATCAACATCCTCAGAGAAGCCAAGTGTGGCCTCTAATTGACTAGCCTATCTGTAACTTTACATCAGCCGTTCAAAATCCTGATTTGCACAAAATCTGAATTCTGGCATACCTAGACATGGCAAGAGCTTAAAACCCATTAATAGTGTGCATTAACTTTACCTTTGCATCATTCCTAACATATTGAATAACATGCCCGGGATACACGGTAGAGGAACAAAACCAGCACTTCTCCAACCTCATCTCACACTTGTATTATGAAGAACCCTTATTCCTGCAACATACAATCTATCACCTGAAAAGCGGACCGAAACCCTAAAATCAATGAAGTAACTAGTGTGCATATTAAAAAAGAGGATCACTTTTAAAAGTATTTTCGAAAGTTCATTTGCGTCCGAGCAAAAAGCAATATCTTTGATGAGTAAGAGAAGTCAAAGTCCTAAAAGTACTGCCTAACAGTGGGAACCACTGAAGCTGTAAAGTAGCTTCAAACATAACAAGGATAGCATTCAACACACTGCACACATGAAAACATTCTGTGCCTAAAATGCCGAGCAAGAAATATAACACCAATAGAAAATGATATCAACCCTCATGTCAAGATAAAGAAAAACACTAAAGCGAGGTACAATAAACTCTAACGACAATTTTGTCTTGCACAAAGATGATAGGCTGCAACAAGTGACAATATTTCTTTCATGACAACAAGAAGTGGGCTAAGGACAAAGGTTACAAAAAATTACATGAAGGCCATAAATTTGATAGGGTATGTCTCTTGCAAAAGTATAAAGTCATCATGGAAGGGACATCAAAGACAATGAAACATTTTAGCTTACCCGCATATGGCTCAAAAACGACCCTTTCTTGAGTAAAATTGTGCACATTGTTTAGGACATAAGGTGCGGAGATAAGGTTTCTCCATTATTGGGTGTTAGTGGTTCAAGTCGCAAAAACAGTCTCTCCGCATGCGGTATAAAACTGCGTACATCTAACTCTATCTAAATCTCACAATGAAGAGAGTCTTGTGTATGATGCCGCCTTTTTTTAAAAGCGTAAGGCTTACTAAGCATAGTTGCTTACTAGGCATAGTTATCAGAACTGGACCAGACATCAAACCGACTGAAGGATTGGACAATCGAACAAAATGCATTATACCCAAAATTTTACAAACAAACAACTTTTGGAGAATTGACCACCGATCAATGCACCAGTCAGTGGGTGGGTGTGTGGAATTCCTGACTTGTGATTACATGTGTGTATGAGAGAGAGAGAGAGAGAGAGAGAGAGAGAGAGAGAGAGAGAGAGAGAGAAGGAGAGAGTAGTTAAAGCTTGGATTGAGGGAAGAGTGTTGTCGATCAAATGCAAAGTTGAGAGAGAGATAGAGATCAAGTGTAGTCTGAATTCAAATACACAGAGATCTTTATTACATAAACTATCTCTTGCATCTCAATCTCTCAGTTTATGCAATGCCAATTCATGAGTCAAACAATATTATATAAATCAACATGAAATTTCACAAAACTGGCTCAGTAATTAAGCTTAGAAGTCTTAATCCGAATTTCAAATATTTATTCTTAAAAATAAACATTTGACAACCCCCAACAAGCACGCTATGAAAAAGTGCCACATCGAACTACAATTGTATATAAATGTCAAATGAGGATTAAGGAAGCCGAAGAACTTATTGCCAATTAAGTACAACTATTTCAATAATCGCCCAAAGGAAAACTAAAAAATAGGCAGTATCTGAAGCCTGCTTCACTGAGAGGATCTGAAGACGGCTACTGACAGAATTTCTCCGAACACCTCACTGAGAAGGATGCCTTCGGCTGTTTTGTGTGTGCGTGTGTGTGTGTGTGTGTGTGCGTGTGTGTGTGAGAGAGAGAGAGAGAGAGAGAAGCCAAGGGCATAGCCGCAGATGAGGGTGCGGAGTGAAAGAGGCGAAGAAGGACTTCGGAGGCTAACCCTAATTTCCCAATTTCATTTTTTTCCGGTTGAACCCGATTTAGTGAATTTGGACCGCAGTCGGTGAACCGACACGGGCACCCCAATGCATTTCAATTTATTTCCAAACCCAGCCTAACTACTACTTAATTAGAGAGAATTACACCTAAATTCCTTAAAATTTATCACTTAATTATTCAGATCTCTTAATATTAAAATACTATATACAAATCCCTTAAATTTTGTATAACATAACATTTAAACTCATATCATAATGTATATTCGTAAGTAAGTTGTACTCACACCCTCTAAAGTTTGTAAACATGTAATACTTAAATCTCTCAAATTTAAAATATTATACTTAAAATAAAAATATTTCATGATAGAATTCAAATATTTTAAATTTTACAACCAAAATTCATATTCTATTATATCATTTATTGAAATAAAATCATAAATAAAAATTCAATTTTTTTAAAAAAATCGTAATTAGTATACAATTATATTATCTATTAGAATAAAACAAAAAAATCAAACAAGGGGTCTAAATCATTCATAATAAAACATGTATTTTACAACTAAAACTCATATTCTATGATAACATTTATTAAAATCAAATTAAAATTAAAAATCTAATTTTTTCTTAAAAAAATCATACTTAGTATATAATTATATTATCTATTAGAATAAAATTAAAAAATCAAATAAGGGATCAAATTGTAATAAACACAATATCTTCTATCTTTAAATTAGATAATTAGGAAGTTTAATTTGGTAGTTTAAACGACCAAATTAAATTTCAATAGATAATATAATTGTATACTAATTATATTTTTTAAGAAAAAAATAGATTTTTATTATTGATTTTATTTCAATAAATGTCATAATATAACATAAATTTTTGTTGTAAAATTTAAAATATTTGATACTTTATCTTTGATTATAGTATTTTTGGTTTAAATATAACATTTTAAATTTGAAGGGTCTAAATATTATATACTTACAAACTTCAAGGGATCTGAATATAATTTACTAACAGATATACAAACAGACATTGAAAACAAGAGTTCAAGTGTTACATGCATACAAATTTTAGGAGGTCTGTGTATAATATTTTAAATGTCAATGAATCTGAGTAATTAAGTAACAAATCCCAAAATATTTGAGTGTAATTCTCCCTACTAACTATTGCATACTAGTTTGTCCCATCAAAATACGTTTTTTTAATACGTGTGTTGAGTTACTCTAGTTAAAAATAAAATTTAAATGAGTTATTGTAATTAAAAATATTAAAAGATTAAAATTTAAGTTACTATAATTAAATGGTTAAAATTTAAATTCGTTATTGTAGTTAAAATGTTAAAATATAGGTTGAGTTAGTATAGTTAAAAGTTTAATGAATTACTGTGATTAAAAGGTTAAAAGTTAAAATTTAAATGAGTTGTTGTGAGTGAGAGTTTAAAATATTAAATCATAATATAAATCATCGGATCTAAATGATTTGAACCGTTATTATGATTTTCTAAGTCATCGGATCCAAATGTAGCTCAACGTAATTTGAGGCATAAAGTAATAACAACAAATGAGGTTTTTTTATTTTTAATACTAATTTTTTTAAAAAAAAATATGTGCGTGAGAGAGGATGAGGATGTGTTAAAGGTGAGAGAATGAAAGGGAGGGCCCTTGTTAGTGTTGTCGAGAGAGAAGTTTCAACTTTTGTTTCTATTTTTATTGGAAAGATAGGGGCTTAATTTTAGCTTTTATTTATTTTAGAGAGAGAGAGAGAATGTTTGGTTGATAATGACAGGGGATAAATATGAGCTGATTTTTGAGTAGTTTTTTGTTTTTAACTTTTAATTTTTGGGTTTTTAATGTTGTGAGTTGTTTGATCCAAAAAAAAAATGTTGTGAGTTGGATCATGAGTCCAAATTATTGAAATTAAAATTTTTTGATTGCGCTTAAATTTTTTGGGGCGTTTTTGTAGTATATAAAATTCTCATGGATTTAAATTTTTTATATGAAATAATTATGTACTTAAAATTATGAAGTCTTATAAGTTATGAAGCACAGATACTTCGTTGATGTTAGCATATCTATATCGAATACAATATTCGTCAAATATTCAAGGATAAGTGTCGGATACACATTCTACGTATCCGATAATAATTAAATATTTGATATTTTTGTGGTCGAGTAACATATATAATTTTTGAATTAAATTTTTAATATCTCTTTTCGAATTTACATACTATACAATACATTAATAAAAATTCATAATACTTCAAAGACACATGAGTGTTTCTTAAGTATTATCTATAATTACGTGTCATAAGAGTATAAAATAAAGTTATTACATTATAATCTTAACAAAAATTACTTTTAAATATTACGTAAATATTAGTTTAATTCTTTTAATTAGTCACTTCACTTTGTGAATATACCATAGTGATACTATATATATTTTTTTAAAATTAAAAAGAATTATTAATTTTTCTTATCATGTGTTAAAGAACTAAAAAAATATATAAATATTAAGCTGGTTGAAAATAATAAAAATATTAAATATATTTTATTATAATTGTATTTTGGTCATATCGGTATCGTATTTTTTTAGATTTTATTGTATCGTTATATCCTTATCATATCATACCCATATTCTGTATTCATATCCGTAATTCATAGCTTATAAGTCTACTTCTCCAAGTGCACAGTTGATCGGATGGAAACTACTCAAGAATGCAATGCCGTTAGACTCTCGATTTGAGCAGCAGGGAATTTCTATGACTGGTCGATGTGTGCTCTGTAATAAGGGAATGGAATCTTCTGGGCATGTGTTTTATTGACTGTGAGTTTGCTATAGCAGTATGGTTTAGATTAGTAGCCATGATGGGTATCGATTTAATTCCAAGAGAGGAGCCTTTAGTGAGATTTGTCAAAATTACAAAGATGCTCAAAAAGCCTTCGATTAGCCATGGATTAATTAGAAGCGTCCCATTGATTGTTTACTGGCAGCTTTGGAAGGAGAAGTGAATACGTTTATTTGAAGGTCTAAAACTCAGTCCACAAGCAGTAACAATGGAAATTCTAAGTATTCCAAAATTTCAAGCGTGGAACATCAAACCTAAAGCCAAGGACTCAATTTAAGAGAAAGCTTTACTTAAAGCTTTGAGTGTGGGTGGTTCTTGTTCTGTGGATACCAAAGTCTCTTGGACTTATTGGAGATGTATTGGTGAGGGGTGATTGAAGATGAACGTGGATGGTGCATCGAAAGGAAACCCAAGCATATCAAGAGGGGGAGTGGTAATCAAGAATCAATGAGGTCAAATGGTCTTGTTTGCTTTCTTTTTTTATGGAACTTGCACAAATGTGGAGGCTGAACTGCGAGCTTTGCTAGATGCTTGAAGCTGATGGATGAATATGTATTGACTGTGTATTCCGTTTGCATTGAGCCTGTCTCAAAAATTTTGGTGGATATGGTTACATGGAAATATCGGTATTTGTATTACCATACACTCAAGATTCTCCGAAGATTTGACTGCCAAATAAAGGGGTATTGGATAGGGGTCAATCGGTTTTTGAATCATCGGAATCTCTTCCAACCATGGCTAGGCTATTGCTAATATAGGACTAATGACAAATTCAAACTTTTAAGGATGAAGATAGTCTTTCATCGTTAGAATTCTTTTATTTCTTTGTAAGTTGCATTTTTTTATTTTTCCTTTATAGAATAATATAACTAGATGTAAAGCTCTATGTCCCCATCAAAAGCATTTGAGAAAGAAAAGTCACAAAAGAGTAGAATATCTATGCACCGAGTAATTAGTGCAATAAAGCAACGAATTATTAATGCACTAAAAAGTGTTCAACCCAAAGCAGCACAAAAATCCAACAAAGCGGTAACCATCATGGGCATTGCTTATTAGATGTAGAATGATTGTACTCAGGTTTTTTTTTTGTCATAATAATATTTAATAATAAAAGACTAATGCTATATGGACTTCAATTTATAAAAAAAAAAAAAAAAAAATATAGACTTCAAAATTAGACTTGATAATCTCAATTATTGAATATATAGTGGGTCCCAATAAATGTTGAGACTCACAGTAAAATCAATAGTTATAATTATTAAGTCTAGTTTTCATATCTTTTTTTTAAGTCGATATCGCATTGCTCATAATAAAAATAATGATTATTAGACCAATCACTAACGACGGGAGTAGGGGTGTTCAAATTTTCGATTGACCGCAATTTCTTACCTTACCTGACCCTATCCAACTCTATTCAACGGCTAGCCGCAAAAATCAGGTAAAAATGCGGAAAAGTTTTTAATCTTCCCATTAAATCGGGTAAGAATGCGGAATATCCATCAATTTCTGCATTCCTACGTTACCCTACCCACAAAAAACATATTTAACTTTTTATATTTTTTTTAGTAATTATAAGAGTATTTGTGTGATATAATTTATATTATAACATTGTTATTGTTATGGATGTTTGAGGTGCTAAAACATAGACTTGTTTTTTGTATAGGTTACATGATTTGTGGTAATCTAGTAATCTATTGGAGTAGTTATGATGTTAATGTGTTTCATATGGTTTAAACTTAAAATAATTGTTATTGTATTTGTGTAATAATTATGATGGATTGATGTTCATACTTTCTTGTGTTTTATTGTAATTGTTATTGTAGTTGTTTTAGATTTTAATGTTATTGATTTATTGTGTTGTTAAATTGGTACAAATTATTTAATTAAATTATTAAAATGATCTAAAAATTAATAGTTATAAAAGTGTTTATTTGATTTCCTACCCTACTTCCTACTCGATTAATCTGATAGAAAATAGGGTAGGAATACCACACCTGATTAGATCGGATAGACTAAAAAAAAATTCTTCCATAAAATATTAGGGAGGAAGCCGAAAGACTAAATTTTTATTTGTAAAATAGGATGAACACCCGTAAACGGGAGAAAGAGAAATTCAAACACGGCAACTTAAAATGCACAAATGGAGGGATGGGCTCCCATCCCATGTCCTTATACCACCAGTTCACATATGTCATTTTCACACATCAACGGCTAGTTGATGGTTTTTGGCATCTATAAATGGCTCCTCATTGGAGCCAAACAGGCCGTTGCTTTCCCAGATGGGGTATACGAAGAGCTTGCACCACCAAAACCCAGCTACGACCCTTCTTCTTTAATCAATTGCTTCAGCCTTGCGGTGGTGTAAGTAACAATGTAAACCATCATGGCCTCTGTCCATTGTACACGTGTCACATGGTCACAGGAAGTTGGAACTCATCTTTCATCGGGCCAAGTTTTTTCTTAAAATTATTTTTTGGGGAGCTTATCAAGACAACTTGAAAAACTCAAATCAATTCTGCAAAAAAAAAAAAAATTTGAAAATTAATTCTACAATTGAAAAAAGTAATTCTATAATACCAAAAAAAATAAAATAAAAATCAAGGTTATTCCGAAAAATTATTACTTTTTGAGGTTAAGTTATATCTTTTAAAAAAAAAAAATTTGTTATAAGGTGTGCAGGCTTGTATCGATTACTCCTTAAAACTCTGAGTCGGTCAATATAACTCAAACTAGTTAAAAACATATCTCCTGAAAAACAAAAATGATTAACTATTATGAGCTGTGAGAAATATTGAATCTGAGACTTCTTATTTTTAAGAGGATAGACTTTACCACTAGATCATTTTTAAAAAATTTTAAAAATAAAATTACAGCTACCTGAAAATGAAATTATAACTACCGGACGTGACACTTTTTAGTGCATGTCATGAAATGTTATGAGGAATCATAAATACTCTTAGATCATTTGTATCTTTACCTTTAAAAATTATAACTTTTATGACTTTTCAATTATAATTACTGCCTCAAAAATGTATAACTTGACTTCAAAAAATTATAAATATTAGTATAGTTTCGTAATCTTCCTAAAAAAGGTGCATGCATTTTATTTTCTGTTGTAACCTCATAATAATATATAAACAATTAAATAAAGTCAACACCATTTCTTTACAAAAAAATTTATATAATAAAACACATAGTAACTTAAATTTTTATCTCCTACATATTTTTCCTCTTAAAAATATCACATCACTCATTATCATCACATGTTTAATCATTTATATATTTATTCTTTAAAAACATCACATCACTCATTTCTATAATATGTTTAATCATTTAATATTTAATTAATTTATAGTTATTATAATTTTTATTTCAAACATTATTCATATACGATAATATACACATGTTGAAAAAATTTAATATAGTGGAATCAATTTTTTGGAAGCTCGAATTTTATATTTTATCATGTTTTTAAGCACGGGTTATGACTAGTGATTACTATATTACATGAAATAATAATTATTTGAAAGGATGAAAATCACTATATTCTCTTCTTAGTTTATTATTATACGATGACACCAACTGACAATACTTACTTGCTGTAAACGTTAAAATTTATATTTTTTTTGTTAAATGTGAGAGAGCAAAGTTAAAAGTTCAGTATAGAAAAACTTTTACTTGTTCATACTTATCTTAGAATTAAACAGGATTATGCTTCCCACGATTTAAAAAAAAAGGAGTCTATAATTACATCATGGATAAAAACCAAAATCCGTTCTTGAACTTTGTATTTGATTTTAATTTAATCCCTAAATTTTTAATTATTCAAATTTAATTTTTCATTTATAAATTTTATCTTAATTAAGTCTTTTCGTCTATTTTTACTGTGAAATTAATTCGATCTGATCAATTTTTATCATTACATCATATATTTCTGTTTGATCTAATATTAGAAATTGATAAAAAAAACTTAACTAAGACAAAAATTGGTAGTATTAGATCAAACAGAAATATATGATGTAATGATAAAAATTGATCAGATTAAATTAATCTCACGGTAAATATAGACGAAAATACTTAATTAAGATAAAATTGGTAGTTAAAATTAATAGTTAAGAGGCTAAATTAGAATAATTAAAAAATTTGGGACCAAATTGAAGTTCAGGGATTGCATCAGACTCTACAATAATGTACCTCTCTTTTAGTTGCTTTGCTTGTTGTCTCTAATTCGTCAGCTCTCTCTCTTCCCCCCAACAATCTCTCCCTCATTTACACTATATACATGCACCGAGCCTTCTTTCTCTTGCCAGTCCTCTATCACACACTTCTCCAGTGAAGTTTAAGATCCTTCACATTTCCCATAAACACAAACTAGTGCTCGGATCTACTCACATTTCACCACTCACACGCATAGTTATGTATAGCTAGAGAAAGCAAAATGACTAGCTCCGATCCTAATAAGCGGCCACGACCCGGGCCAAGGCCAACGGCATCGGAATCCGCCACAATGCCACCGTCTTCATGGGCTAAACACACCGGCTTCAAGCCCAAGTTATCCGGCGAGACCAGTGCGAGTGATTCGAGTCAAATTATGGTCCAACCCAAGCCTAAAGAACCAATCACTGCTTTGGATCTCGAAGCGGGGCCGTGTTCGGGCTGGTTCGGCTGTGAACGGTGAGCCAGAGAATGGGAAAGTGCCGCCTGCTCCGGCGGCAGCGGAGGAGAAAGATCAGACTTTGAAGAAAAAGAGGGATTCGGATGGTGGTGGCAGAGCAGTGGCCAAGAGTACAACTGGAAAGGCGGCGACGGCGACTCGGAAGCCGGTTAGGAAGGAAAAGGTGGTGGGTGTGTTATCTCAGACTGTCGATGATAATGGGTTTGTGTCTAGGCATTCACATATGAAGTGTGCGTGCTGGATCTTGCACAATATAAACACGAGAACAGATCTCTCCCTTGGTGAACTCGAGTGAGTCAGTCGAGTGGTCAACCCTGCTGGTTGGAACAGCCTGTGAGGTCCGATGGTAACCTGGAACGATAATGGGAGACCCTCGTGGATCAACAGAACGATCCAGTAAGGCTGAGGAAGGTTCTTGGAACAAAAAAAGACAAGTTAGAAGGGCGCCGGAGTGTTTTCCGGCGTATCCCCTCCGACGATCAAGTCAGTTTTTTAGAGAGAGGAAGAAAAAAACACTAAGTATAAGTTTGAGCAAAGGTTTCACCTTGTTTCCTCATCTTGCCTTTTGTGAGGAGTATTTATACCTTAAATACTCATGATTGTTGTCAGTGTGGTCAGTAGGTAATCATTAGATACGGACAATGTGCGCACTGATTCCTATGAGGAATGTCTTCACTTTTAACTACTCAGGATCCCGAGCAACCAAGGCTGTGTCATCGGCCTGCCGACTGTTTAATGAGCTCCTCTCGGCAAGGATGTAATAAATGTCCAGCCTTAGGGATATTTATTACCTTTCACTTCCGAGGCTTACCGCATTAAATGTTGTCTCATCAAGGAAATGGTGTAATTAAATGCTTGCTTTCCCAAGTCGTGTGTCAGCAAGAGCATCTGGTCTTTTTGTCTCTGATGTGACACAATATGTCACACGTCCATTCCCTATTGGTTGTGTCCCCTGTCTTCTTATGCCTTCTGACACCAATTGTGTAAGACGAGGTTATGATGGCTAACCTAGCCTAGCCTATGCTAGTGACCTGTACATCAATAGCCTCTACAGGAGCAGAGAACGTCATCCTGGATGGGGGGTACATCTCGGTACCGAGGGGGATTGGTACATGTGGGACCAATGTACCCTGTCCAACCCCGAGGGATATGTGTCGGTATGTAACGTACTGGATGTCATTGATCCCTATGAACAGTACCTCGGGGGAACAGGGACTTGTGATCCGACGGGTACGTGTTGCGTTTTATAGGAAAAGAATTTTACTGATGCCGAGGACACGTGTCTTCATCTTGGAGTACTTGGAAATGTCCCATCAACTACCCCCCAGTCTTCGATCTCCTGACACCGAGGACACGCATCGTAAGGAGACGAAGGGTTCTGTAACTACCCCAACTACTTCATCATTGCCTTCAGCCGCTTTCCCCTGCTTCGGAGGTCGTGCGCATTAAATGCGTCTCTTCATGCTTCGTGCCCAAATGATGGGGAGGAGTACTATATAAATGGGCTTCCTCTCTCCCCCTTTCACTTTGCCATTTCAAAGAGCCATTGCCTGAAACCTCGCCGGAGATCCCTTTCCTTTCGTCGTCTACTGTCCAATCTTTCACCAGAGTCTTAAGGCCAGCAGACCCATCCTTGCTTCTGACCATTCTGGAGGAAGGAGTCGCTTCAAGTTTCAAGAAAAAACTTCATTTTACGTTCTGGTGAGTCCTTGTATCTTCCCTTTCTTCGCCCTCCGTCTCTTCTCTACTTCTCGTTTTTTCTTTCTTCTTTTTGGTTTTTCGATAACTGGAGGCGTTTCTGGTTGCTACTCAGCGACCAATCCTCGGGAAGCCTCCTTGGGGATCTTCGTGAAAAAACCCCCTCCTTTATCACTTTTTGGAGATGTCCCGTCGTCGCCCTGCCCCCGAGAATCCTCAAGCCAATTCTTCGAGGCCAGGGAAGTATAAAGTAAAAGGGGGCGAGCAAATTAATAGTTTTAGGGTCAAGTACAGCATCCCCCCATACATAGATATAAGGGATTATGACTCGGCTGTGCATTCCTGTACCCTCGGGGCTGAGGATGAGATGTCTTTTTATACCAAAACCGTCATAGAGGGCGGAATTAGGTTTCCTCTGCCCCCTCTACTCCTCCAGTTCCTCTCCCATTTCCACTTCTTCCCCGAGCAGTGTTGCCTTAATGTCTTCAGAATAATTATGGGAGTCCTAGAGCTTAACAAGCGTCTCGGGGTAAATGTTGGGCTGAACGATATCCTCTTTTGCTACTCCCTCTTGAGAGTCATGCCTCAACAAAATTTCTACCTCAAAGCCAGGGACCCATTCATGTACCTCGTAACTCATTTTTCCGACTCGGACAAGGGGTACAAGGATAACCTACTCATCTTCAAGAGATCTTAGCAGAGGGGTGCCAGTCCCGAGTACAACGGCTTGTTATGCCCTTTGGAATGGAGAACGACAAGTACGTCGGCTTCTTCGGGTCTATTGTTTTGTTCTTGAGATTTTTTAGCAGAGTTCATAACTCACTCCCCTCTCTTTTTGTTTGTGTAGAGACATCTCCCCTCGAGAAACAGCTCCTCCACCTCGGTCCTTGGTGAACTTTGCCGACATAGTCACTGTTTGGAGATTTACTAGTGACAACGGGTTCGGCCGAGCTGTCCACATCCTCCTGAATTACACTCCCGGATATAAAAAGTTTTCACAGCTTCCCCAGCCTTTCGAGCCTTCGCGGTGGTCTGAACTCTTCGATCAGGCGGTGAGGCAAGAGGACGAGGAGAACTTGGAGGAAGACCCTGACCGGGCTATGGAGGCAGAAGTAGAGGGTGAAGCTGAAGATCTCGGGGTCAGAGAGGACTTGGTTCCTTCGCACGCCGAGATGGGGACTTCGGGGAGAGATTCGTGGCCTGACTTCCAAATCCTGCAATCTCTAAATGCCGAGGACGTCCTCGAGATAGCTATGTTCAGCACGCCCCGTATTGATCTGGGATTCCTGAGGCAGAGGCAAGCCCTCGCTGCCCGGCAGGGGCGTGGGTCAACAAGCGGCCCCCCACCTACAGGGACAAGCGCCACTCCACCTTCAAGGGCCGTTGGTCGGGGCCAAGTGCGCGACCAAGATCCTCAGGTTGAGGTGGAGAGGAGGATTAAACAAAGGCACGATGGTCTAGGCAGAGGATCCAGGGCCCCCTCCGCCCTCCCCTTCCTCTGACGGTGGAAGCCACGGAGTGGAATCCTCAGGCGCTCGATCACATGAACCGAGTGATCAGGGTTGACAACTCCATTTTGCAGGACCCCCATGTTGCCAACGCAGTAGGTGAGACGCTGCACTTCGAGGCTGACATGGTGGCTCACAGAGGGAGATCAACGAACGTGTTGTTTCGTTCTATCATTCAGAATTCTCTGGTGGTAAGTTCATTCTTACTTCAGTACTTTCTAGCCGCTTCTCTTTTTATCGACATGCCCTTTCCTTTGCAGGCCAGCCAACAAATTACTATAATAGCGGCGCAGTATCATGGGGCTAGGATGGACCTCTAGCGGGCTCGAGAGGAGAAGGAAGAAGCCGAGGGAGCCCTCGCTAATGCTAAAGAGGACGTAGATGCCAGGGATTCCACCCTCGCGGGGCAGGCTGCTCAAATCGAACAACTCCTCAAGGATGCCGAGTTAGCGAAGGTCGGCGCTGAAAAGCTAACTGCTGCCTTGGCCGACGCTGAGAGGAGGATTACAGAGCAGACGCAGCGGCTCTCTGCGGCAGAGGAGAAGGCTGTTGGTTCAGAGGAAAGTTGTCTGGCTCTGACCCAGGAGCTGGACAGGATCAGGGCTGAGGTAGAGAGTAGGAAATCCGAAGAACAACTCCGAGAGGAATTCGTCGATGACGTACTGCCTGCTCTTGAGAAAAATAACAGAGAGTTCTTCAAGAGGGTGTGGGATGAGGCGCTCCGATCCACCGGGGTCCCTCCAGACTCTCCGCTCTTCCAGATGCACAACTATGTGCAATCGGCTGAGATGGAACAGGCAGAGGCCGAGATTACTGCCGAGGGTGCGAATCCAATGCCGATGCAAGTTTTGGCAGACCCACCCGAGGTGGTGATTCTAGTCCCATCAGAGGAGGCCTCATCAGGCTTGGCACCTGACCACAATGTTCCCGAGACTCTTGCTGTCACTGATCCGGTCCTATCCCATCCTGTGCCCGAAGATGCTCAACCTTTCTGCGTTGATTCGCCCTCCGGCGATGTTTTGGAGATGTCTGGGGCCCGATGAAGGCTTTCCTTTTGAATAGTACTTTCTTCTTTCATTCTTGTAGCTCTAGGGGACGCAAAACCCCTCTTTTGAAATGAAGCTTTTTGAGTACTTACATTTTCTTTTTTTTTTCTTTTTTTTTTAGACCTTGATAACTCTAACACCTGGGGAGCAATTTGGCTTGCCTACCCGATTGGTTCAGTTTCATCATTGCTAAAACCTGTACGCACCCGCGGGGGTCTCACTCTTTGTGAAAGTTTGTTACTAGCTTTTATTCGGAGGCGAGAGTTCTTGAACTCTGTCCCCAGGGCCTTGTCCTATCCAGGAGGCTTGCTCCTGTTTTTTCTTCGGGGGCAAGAGTCCTTGAACTCTATCCCCAGGGCCTTACCCTTCCAAGAGACTTGCTCCTGTTTTTTCTTCGGGGGCAGGAGTCCTTGAACTCTGTCCCTAGGGCCTTACCCTTCCAGGAGGCTTGCTCCTGTTTTTTGTTTCGGGGGCAGGAGTCCTTGAACTCTGTCCCCAGGGCCTTACCCTTGTTACTTAACCATTAGCGAGCACTGAAGGAAGTAATACTTCAAAAATAGTATTTCTTTAGATTCATCACATTTCAAGATCGCATTACAAGTTTTCCATCCATATCTTCTAATCTATATGACCCGGAGCCTCCGATAGATATCACTTTGTAAGACCCTTCCCAGTTAGGTCCCATTTTTCCTTCTGTTGGGTCACGGGTATTGGCCGTTATCCTTCTAAGGACCAGATCGCCGATTTGGAACTCTCGCACCTTGACCCTTCTGTTGGAAAGTTGGAAAATCTTTTCCTGATACTTGGTTATTCTCAAGGCGCCTATCTCCCTTCTTTCTTCCGCTAGATCCAAATCCAGTCTAAGTTGACGGTCATTTCCCCCTGCGTCGAAAGCTTGCGTCCTTATGGTCGGGAGTCCTACCTCAAGAGGTATGATTGCTTCCATTTCGTAAGCCAGGGA